CAGAATCTCAAGTGTGTGCGCATTCTCAAGCAGTTCCACAAGGACTTAGAAAAGGAGCTGCTCCGCCGGCATCACAGGTTGAAGCCACCCMGGCATCTGGACCCAAGTTTGGCCAACTACCTCGTGCAGAAGGCCAAGCAGAGGCGGGCACTTCAGCGCYGGGAGCAGGAGCTCAATGCCAAGCGCAGCCACCTAGGACGCATTACTGTGGAGAATGAAGTGGACCTGGATGGCCCCCCACGGGCCTTCGTGTACATCAATGAGTACCGTGTTGGTGAGGGTATCAACCTCAACCAGGTGGCCGTAGGCTGCGAGTGTCAGGACTRTCTATGGGCACCAGCTGGAGGCTGCTGCCCTGGGGCATCCCTGCACAAGTCTTCCTACAATGACCAAGGCCAGGTGCGGCTGCGAGCCGGGCTGCCCATCTATGAGTGCAACTCCCGCTGCCGCTGCGGCTATGACTGCCCCAACCGCGTAGTACAGAAGGGCATCCGCTATGATCTCTGCATCTTCCGCACAGATGATGGGCGTGGCTGGGGCGTACGCACTCTAGAGAAGATTCGCAAGAACAGCTTCGTCATGGAGTATGTGGGAGAGGTAGGGAGATGGGATTGGCATGCATGTGCAGCTTTTTCTATTATGTGTTTTGCTATGTGTGCATCCAGCTTCCACGGTGTGTATTTGAAACTCCCCTGCTTTCCTTGTGGGAAAGGCCTGAGAGGTGGTTCTGAGTGTCATAGCAGCATCCTGGTAGGGGCTAGTATTCCAAGCTGGTACACATCAGCATGACCATGCTTGTAATGAAAAGAAGATTGAAGTACTTCTGGACAGGGGTGGCTTCATAAGGGTACCTAGCAAAGAAGGAAAGTGGGAACTAAGACAGGTTGATTCTTTCAGAGATTATGTGGTCTAAAAGCACAGGGTTGGGTCACCTGAAAAGGCCTGTCCCCTTCTTATCTCACAAGGGGCCATCTTATCATAAGCATCATTTACCCAAAGAAACACCTTTCACTATGCTACACAAAAGGAAGGTGAAAATTCTAGAATAGGACAGAGACACATTTTGGACAGAGGTTGGCTACCTTCTGTAGACTTTCAGGTCACCCTGGGGAAAGACAGGGTACATTAGACAGGCCAGCTGCTATAATGTACAACCCCCATGTGGTTCTGCACATCAGGAGCTGGTTTGCTCACGAATGGTCCAGTGTGGGTGTTTGGGTGGGCATCATTTCACAGTGACTCTAACATTTAGGTTCTTTCCCTCCTGTGACTTTCCTGTGCTTTTGAATATCTAAGTCGTTGCTAGTTTGTCAGCATTGCTTGGCAGGTGGGCCCAGTTGGGGACAGATGGTTAGGGTTCTAATGGCTCAGGTCTGGATGCAGTGCATGTCACTTCTGCCCACACTTTATTGACTGGAACTGAGCCACTGGCCTTACCTCAGTATAAGGGAGGCGGGGGGTGGGTGTGGGTATGTGTGCTTTAGCTGTGTGCTCAGGTGCAAAACAGAAGGAGTCTGGGTGAGAATCTGCAAGGGACTACAACAGAACATGTCACCTCCTAACACAGAACATGATGAGCATTTGTCAGGGAGCAGTTCTTTTTCATGTATACCTGTAACATGCATTGGGAGATATTTAGCATCTCTGAACCTTGACCATCTAAATCTATAAGTGTGCCATAGAGTCATGACAACCCCAAATACCTCCATATATTTCCATAGTATATATATCAAGGGTGTGATGGTTGAGAAGTGACAGAAAGTGGCCTGAGGGACACATACCTAAGGGTGTCCACACTGTAGTAATGACACTGATAGTGAGGAGAGGCTCCCATTTTGAGGAACCAGAGAGTAGAGAAATCAGATCCAAGAGGCAGAACAGTCTACAACACAGAAGGACCTAACAGTCTGGACAAAGGGACTGCCACACCCAAGATGGTCTGCTGGAGGAAATAGTCACATGCTAGAGGGCCAGACAGTCTGAGGAAGGAGGAGACGTCCACACCCAGAGGGTTCCTGTCAGCAGCGGGAATAGGGATCCACATCTTAGAGTGACCCAATGACCTGGAGGAAGGGCTCAAGCTCTCCACACTACAGAGGGCCCTGACTTAGAAAGTTTCCACACTCATGCTGTCCTGAGTCAGAAAAAAGAAGTATCCTCATCCCCAATGGATCTGGATAGCCTGGAACTTAGGTCTATACCTGTAGTCACTCTGACAAGTTGAAGGAAGTTTGTACATTCTCAGGGACCTGATACTCTGGATCTTGAGGTGGATGTATGCTTACTGTGGGTGGCCCCTGGCAGGTCCAGGAAGGGAGTTATCCAGATCCCATTGGCCCTGGACAGTCCTAGATGCTGTCCTGAGCTGGAAGCATTTTGGCCTAACCATGCTGAATGGAAGAAAACACACACAGGGACATACAGGAGGAAGAGCCCTATATAGTCCACAGGCAGCCTGAGTTCTCTGAGCTTAATGTCTTCACTCCTCTATACAGAAACAGCAAGGTTTTCAGGGGCCTTCTCACTCTTTCCTCACTCTTCCCACTCTCCACACATTCTCTCCACAGTTCCTTTTTTCCCAAATATTTATTCTTTAGTTGTAGTTGGACAGGATACCTTTATTTTATTCATTTATTTTTATGTGGTGCTGAGGATTGAACCCAGGGTCTCGCACATGTGAGGTGAGTGCTCTACCGCTGAGCCATGACCCCAGCCCTCTCCATGGTTCCTTGATCTCCCACTTTGCTATATTCAGTGACTTTCAGGCCCCCTCTGGTACCCTAAGACCTATGAATCCTCTCAGTGAGGCAACAGGTCTCCAAACCCTGCCAGAACCAAATTTATCTTCCCACATGGCTTCGGAAGAGGCAGCACAGCAAAGTGAGTAGGAGGGTGATCCCTGGAGCCAGCCTGCCTGAGATTGCATCCCTCTTCACCTCTCAGTTTCCTAATCTGGAAAATGGGAATGATAACAACACCCACCTTATATGCTTGTTAGACGTATTTATTTTTAAAAAATTAATTGGTACATTATAGTTATATATAACAGAGGAATTCATTGTTCTACATTCATATCTGTACATAGCATAATTTACTCAATCTCATTCCCCAGTAGTATCACCCCTTTTCTCTCCTTTCCCCTGATCTCCTTCCTCTACATTACTGGCCTCTCTTGTTAGAAACATTTAACTAGTGTTTTTTGTTTGTTTGTTTTGGTACCAGGGATTGAACCCAAGGGTGCTTTACCACTTAGCCACATCCCCAGTCTTTTTATATATTTTTAAATTTAGAGACAGTGTCTTGCTCAGTTGCTTAGGGTCTCGCTAAATTGCTGAGGCTGACTTTGAACTTACAATCCTCCTGCCTAAGCCTCCTGAGCCACAGGGATTACAGGCATGTGCCACCATGCTCGGCTTAACTATGTGAAACAGTGCTCAGTACATAGTGAGACTCAGGTGTTAGCTGGTAGAGTCCAAAAGTCAGTAAATCCAAAATGCTCAGAAAGTGAAAGGGTTTTTTGTAACCCATCTGGCTGCAAACCCCAACCTGACCTCAAAAGGGCCTATTTATAGTCTTTGTTATCCTATTTGGGGTGAATATTCTATAATTTATCTCAGAGACATTACTGTATTATGTGGTTCCAGATACTTCCTAGGTGCTATGAAACCTGGATGCCTGCTCTTCTTCCCCTCTAGGGACACCAACAATCTGTACTGACAGTTTCTGCCACATGGGCAGCCCTTTACTCCTTTGCACCCTTCCTTGTTTGGTCCAAACTTTGACATTTTTTTAAAAATATATATTTTTTAGTTGTAGTTGTAGTTTAGTTGTATTTCTATGTGGTACTGAGGATTGAACCCAGGGGTGCTAGGCAAGTGCTCTACCGCTGAGCTACAACCCCAGCCCCCAAACTTTGACTTTGCAGAGCATTTTCATCCACATCCTACAGAGGATGTTAGCACATTTTATTCATTCTTAAACATGTACTCTCTTCGTAGTTTAATATCTCTGAAATGAAGATGAGTCTTAATTGGTTTAATTAAATGATACCATATCATTTAATTAGCAGCACTTTTCCCTCTCTTGGTAAAGGGTACATAAAATAAAGGTGCATCTTAGATTCCAATAAGGTACAGCACTCAATTACTCTTTATGTTGCTCTGTTCCTAACAGAAACACTTGATATCTATGATCCATGGTCTAGTTTGGTTTTTTTGTTTGTTTGTTTGTTTGTTTACCATGCTGGAGATGGAACCCAGGTCTTGGAGCATGCTGAGGTAGCATTCTACCACTGAGCCACATCCCTGGCCCCTCCATGATCTTGTTTGGTCTTTACACAGGGCCTGTCAGGTTGGGATTTTGTCATTGTTATTCCCATTCTACAGATGAGAAAATGGAGGCCCAATGAGGTTTAGTAACTTACTCAGAGTCTCAAAGCTAGTAAAGTGAGCAAAATAAATAAAAGGGGGCCCCATGGCTGTGTGCAGTTGTAGCTCAGTGGTAGAGTGCTTGCCTAGCATGTGAGAGGCACTGGGTTTGATCCTCAGCACCACATAAAAATAAGTTAAAAAATAAACGTTAGAAAAGGGCCCACGAATCTATAACTGGTGCTCTGCCAGGCCTGCAGGCTTTTTTTTTTTTTGGCTGACGACACAGGCTCAGACAGAACATTTAGGATCCCACATCCAGGAGGGGAAGAGAGGCAGCTCACTCCAAGTACTCTAATTCTTATTCACATTGGCAGCCTGTCTAAGCTGCCAGCTCCTAGGCTGTCTTCCCCAACAGTGTGTAGAGCTACTAGGGGGCAGAGATGGGGATAAATTTATTCCCAGGTTTTTAGGGTGAACCACCCACTACAGAGTAGGACTAAAAAAAAAGGTAAGAGAAAAGCAACCGTTTGTGCCCTGGAGGGCTTGTAGTATGATTCACTTTTGGTGAGACTCCGGGAGCAGGTAGGGGCAGAACAGGCAGAAAGATGGAACCCAGGGAGGATGTAGGCATTACCCCTGGCTTGGGGAGGGGCTATAATTACAAAGATGGTTCAGATAGTAGCCAGTGTGTTGGTGAGCTGAAGAGGCTGCCCTTTTGATATCAGGGTTTAATGAGAGGCTGCTGGCTTCTGAGGTGGTCTGGGAAGCTGGAAACCCAAAGAAATCCCATCTGAACCAACACCACAGAGTAGAACACATTCTCCAGGAGGCAGAGGGAGACTGACCTCTGCAAAATTCACCTCACCATGTTCCTGTGGCTTTCTTTCTTTTTTTTTTTTTTTTGTACCAAGGATTGAACCCAGGGATGCTTAAGCACTGAGCCACATTCCTAGCCCTATCTATCTATCTATGTATCTATCTATCGGGCCTTGCCAAATTGCTGAGGCTGGATTTGAACTTGCAATCCTCCTGCCTTAGCCTCCTGAGTCACTGGGATTACAGGTGTGTGCCACCTTGCCCAGCTTCCTGTGGCTTTTGTTGCATCCCTCAGGAGAGAGTCCCCCTCTTCAACCTGGTGGTAATGCCCTTTTATGAGCTACAGCTTGCTTTAAAGGGTGTATATCTTGCATTGCCCCTTGATTTCTCCCTCGGCGCTGTTTCCTTTTCAACCTCTTGCACTCTGGTTGTCTTGACTCCATTTCTGTTATCTCTGTGACACCTGAGGGTAGGGATGAGGCCTGTGCTCTGTGTCTGCCCCACCAGACTCTGACCCCTGCCAGCTGGGAGTAAGCACAGTGTAGGCCTCAATCCTCAACACAAATCCACTGAATGGCTGGGGGTATGGCTCAGCAGGAGAACACATGCTTATTAGCATGTGCAGTCCCTGGTTCCATCCCCAAAACCACAAATAAAATAATCACTGAATGAATGAGTAAACAAAAAAACAAATTGGGGCTGGGTTGTGGCTCAGTGGTAGAGCGCTTGCCTAGCATGTGTGAGACACTGGGTTCGATTCTCAGTACTATAAATAAAATAAAGATCCACTGACAACTAAAAAATATTTTTAATAAAACATAAATTGGGTGTGAGGGAGCTAAGTTCCTCTAGGAAAGGAGCAGGAGCTGGGAACATTGAGCAGTGAGGCCCCTGTGCAAATCTGGGTTTCATAAAAGCAAAGTTGATAAGCAATTGGCATATAGCATAGGCTGCAGGTGATGGCATAAGAGGCAGATTGGAGACTAAGTACACCAGTGTGGCTATTACTAGAGAATGGTAGGGTGGTCACACAAGAAAGAGGACAGATGTGAAAGCTGGAAAAGTATGGTCCCCAGGCCATAGGTGGCAGGGTAAGGAAGGGTCTTGGGTTTGTATCTACTGTTGGCATGTGGCTAAGGAGTGGGCAGTGTATCTCTTAGGAAGGAAGAGGGAAGGAATAAGAGGTTTGGAGGAAGAAAACATTGGAGTTGCCTGAAGTACACCACTTGGACAGAGCACAGGTCACTGTGATAGAGTGCAGAAGGAAAAGAAAACAGTTATTGCAGATCCGACTATGGGTTGTACACAGTTCTGGCACTTGTCTCTAAGGTTTGGGAGAAAGATAGTAGGAAACCCAGGAGTGGGGGCACCCCAGACTGAAGAGGAGGCAGACTTGGGTACAGTGGGACCTCCACCTGGAGAAGGGCATAGTCAGTCAGCCACAGTTGGGCACTGCTGGAGGCTATAGTTACTGGCCCCAGAGTGGGGGGAGAGGAGAGATCTGATTGAATATGAAATAGGATCCATCAACAGCTTTAGGAGACAAGTACAGGTGGAGCTGGGATGGTGGAGCACCTTTCTGTTTACTAGGATAGCAGGGGACCCATCTGGGAAGTTAAAGTGGTAGGAAGTGCCTACTGCTCTCTCAGCCCCAATTATTGGCACTGCTGTAGGAGGGCTTCTGTCATCTGCACTTTGGTTTTCCTTTCTTTCCCACCCTCTCCTGCTTGCTTTCATTGTCTTGTCATTTTATATCTTAAGTTTGGGGCAACAGCTTCTTGCTGGCCATCTCAGACTCTCAGAGGTCTCGGCCTTGGACTTTCTCTAGGAACCTTGGTCTTCACTCTGGGCTTCATATGTGTTTCTCACTCTGTCTCTGCTTCTAGTGCTCTTGTATGGGTCTCTTTCCCGTTCACTCAGTCCCTTTTCTCTACCATCACAGATCTCTTTCTTCCCCTCACTCCTGTGTCTGTCTAGCCACCTGGCTTTCCCTTGTGCTGGGACTTGCACTGGCTCCTAACCTCTTGACTTGGATCAGTTTTTCCCCCTGTCTCCCTATGGTACCCTGGATCTCATTCTTTCTTGCCCTTGCTCTGGGTTTCTCTGTGTGTCTTTGTCCCTGTATTGATCTATCCCAAGGGTTCGATAGGCTCTGGGACATCTCAGACAGTCTCACTGGGCAACAGAAGGTGGGGTTTTGTTTCACTCTAATCCCCCATCATTGAGAGACTCTTCCTGCCATCCAGATGCCTAAGGGGGGGGTGGGCAAGTGGGAAGCCCCTGATAGGGCTGACAGATTCATTACATCATAGTCCCCCAAGTGTCTATGGGGTGGGTGCTCACTGTTCTTCTCTTCCCAGGAAGCCAGGCCACTGGGGTCAAGAGCAGGGCTGGCTATCCTGAACCTTGATTACCATCTCCCCCACCGTTTCCGCAGATCATTACCTCAGAGGAGGCRGAGCGGCGGGGCCAGATCTATGACCGTCAGGGTGCCACCTACCTCTTAGACCTGGACTACATGGAGGATGTGTATACTTTGGATGCCGCCTATTATGGCAACATCTCCCACTTTGTTAACCATAGTGTGGGTGCTCCCGGCACGTGGGGAGGGGGTTGGGAGGGGCAGGCCAGGGCCCTTCCTCACCCTCCCACTGTTCTTTCTCGCCCAGTGTGACCCCAACCTACAGGTGTACAACGTCTTCATAGACAACCTTGATGAGCGGCTGCCCCGCATTGCTTTCTTTGCCACAAGAACCATCCGGGCAGGCGAGGAGCTCACCTTTGATTACAACATGCAAGGTGGGGGTGGCAAGGGCCCAGGGGCAGGGGTACATGGTGATGTGGGATGGTGAGGACCCCACCCAAGGCATACCAGTCACTCAAGAAAGCAAGGGAAGTTCTTTAGCTGGAGCTTTAAGATGCTCCTCCTGACTCCCAGTCTCCTTTCAAGTTTCTTAGACCTCTGCCTCCCTCATGGGGCCCCAACCCAGAGTTACTTGTCCCATTTTCTCTCAGGCCTCCTGGGAAAGGACATGTGGCTGGAGAGTTAAGGCACTTCTGGCTCCCATCTGTACTGAATTGCCCCTTCCCCTCTCTACTCTAGCCCCCTGTGACTTTCCTCAGTCCAGGCCTTTGGAAAACCAGTCCCTTCCTTGATAGACTAGCCATCTCTGAGATACTCAGTGTGGATCTGGGGCAGGATGCTTCTATGGATACACAGGTGGCCCTCCATTCCTGACCCCAGCTGACACAATCCTCCTGGTTCCCTGACAGCTACCCACTTCTCCCAATAGCCCTTACCCGCTGGCCTGAATACCCCTTTGGTGCTGTGCTCAGGCTCTAGCCCCAAACCATCATCCCTAAGATCCCCTCCTAACTCAAATCCCAACCTGCTTCCAGCTCCCAAGATCCCTGGGTCTCCTGGTATAAAGTGTAGCAGGATGCTTCATCCAGGCCTTCTAACAAATCCCCTCCCTCCCCCTTCTCCCGGCTGTGATTCCACAGTGGACCCCGTGGACATGGAGAGTACCCGTATGGACTCCAACTTTGGCCTGGCTGGGCTCCCTGACTCCCTCAAGAAGTGGGTCCGTATTGTGGGACTGAATCCTGCCGCAAATACCTCTTCTAGCCCTGAGAAGTTTGAGGCCAGACTGACTGCGGGGGTCTGAGGCGACCTCCCCCTCCCCCACTCCTTCCCTCCTATGGGGGAATGACTGCCAGGGCCTGGCCTGCCTCCACCTGCTCCCACTTGTCCCCTCTACCCCCCTCCCCCGCGCCTGTTCCACTTGCTCCAGCTGCTCCAGGGTCAGGGCTGCAGTGAGGACCAACTCCAGGAGTCCCCTTTCTCTGTCCCAGCTCCATCTGTTGGTTGCACTTACAAACCCCTGTCCACCTTCAGAAGTACCTTTTTCCCATCAGGATTTTCTGCAGTTGGGATTTATGACCTATGAAGGAGTTCCAAGGGGTGAGCCCAACCCCAGCACAGAAAGATGCTTGTTTCTGCCTGGAGCCTGAGGGGTCTGCTGCAGSTCTCCTCCCTATTGCCTCSGGGYGTGGGGAAGCAACACYCCGGGSAGGCAGACATCMGAGCCCAGAGTTTCCAGMATGACTTGAAGCTGGTTCTCCAACCACAGAACCTTTATACTAGTGAAAGAAAAAGGGGTTTCTAGGCAGGGTGCTAAGGCTGGTTTTTGCCCATTGTGCTTATGATACTTATGGTGTTGGCCTTAAGAGTCATAGGATATCTGCCAGAGCTTTACATCCGAGAAGTGGATGCCCATGGCCCACTGGCCAGTGAGAGGAAGGTGATCTATACTTTGCTAGCCCTGGAGGTGGCCAGGACTGAGTTCTACCTTTAGGCAACACAGAGAAGATGTCCCAGGCTTTCAGGAACGCTGAAAGTTAGGACTCCTGCCATGGAGTGTGATGATTGCTAGGACTACTCAGAGTTGGAATCAAGACCTAGATAGTCCTAGATAGCACTTAGGAGAATAACGTGCATTGATGGAAAGCTGATGAGGTGCATCTGGTCCACGTGGATTGTCTCAGGGAAGCCTTGAAAACCACAGAGGTGGATCCCAGGAAAGGGCCTGTGTGGTAGAAGGCAAAGTAAAGGCCAAGAATGGGGGAAAGCTTACCCACTAAGATACAGTAAGGCAAGAGGAAATCTACTTCCCACCAGCCTCAGCCTCCAGCCCTTTGTGCTCACCTTGGGTCCACTGGTTTCCCAAATTGCCTACAAATGTACAAAAGGTGAAAGTTCTGATGGCTGCCTCGCCCTGCTCCCCCACCCCTGTGAGGTCTTCTCTAGGAAACCTTTACTGACTACCTGTGCCCAGAGTGCCCCTGTGTGAGACTGTGCACCCTGCTACCAGATCTATGTGTCTGTCTATGTGTCTGTCCTGCCCTTGCCCCCAAGGCTGACCTTCAGGCATGGACTGAATGTGGTTCTCCTCTTGTGCACCCCTCAGCTCTACCCAGCCTGGAGTGGGCATCAATAAAATACATTGTTGACTGAATAAGCTAAGATGTGGAGATTGAGGGTCTGGTGGGATTTGGGGTTTGAGAGGTTAGGAGTTGGGTTTGCCCAAGAATGTGGTCCTCAACCCTTAACTGTCTGACTTGAACCCTACTTTGGACCTCTATAGTGTAGTACTTGCACCATCATTTACAAAATAGCTTGACGTAAAATAAGCTTGCTTCATACTTCCTTTTTAAAATGCATTTAAAAAGCAAACCAGAGGCAGTGCTGTCTAAATAGATAAGCCATTAATTATCACTTGCCATAAGCAAAAAATAACTAGCCAAAAAAGCCAATACAGGGCTGGGGTTGTGGCTAAGTGGTAGAGCACTTGCCTCGCATGTGTGAGGTACTGGGTTCAATTCTCAGCACCACATAAAAATAAATAAAGATATTGTGTCCATCTTTTTTTTTAAAGCCAATACAGGAGATGGGGTTGCGGCTCTGTGATAGAGCACTTGCCTGGCATGTGTGAGGCACTGGGTTCGATTCTCAGCACCACATATAAATGAATAAAGGTCTATCAACAACTAAAAAATACATATATATTTTTTTTTTAAAGAGAGAGTGAGAGGAGAGAGAGAGAGAGAGAGAATTTTTTAATATTTATTTCTTAATTCTCGGCGGACACAACATCTTTGTTGGTATGTGGTGCTGAGGATCGAACCCGGGCCGCACGCATGCCAGATGAGCGCGCTACCGCCTGAGCCACATTCCCAGCCCCCATATATATTTTTTAAAGCCAATACAATGGCAATAAAGAAATGTACTAAAATTTGAACTGGACCCTCCCTGCTCTTAAAGGCTTTGAATCCAAAGCCTATCTACTGCATTCAAAAAGAAAACTTCTTGTGCCCTAGAGAAGCTTTATCTACGAATATTTATTGAACACCTACATGTGCCAGGGTATAAAGCAGAGAACAAAGATGCAGTGTTTCAAATCATCATTTTCATCTTTCCTCAACCTGAGTGTGAGTCTCTGGTTTGGCTCTGAGACTCCGATGCTGTGACATGACACTCAAACATTTTCAAAAGTACACATAGGTAATAGTCCCAAACAGCCCAGAAACTTCATACCCTGGACATGAGCCTCCTAGACCTTAGGTCTTGGGTATTCACCCCAGATCTCAGAGACCTCACACCCTGGAATATATACCTCCATACATATATGGAGCAGAGTGCTCCATCTGGGACAAAGACCTCAGTTAACTCAGGCTTCACTGGAACAGAGTTTATGGCTCTAAACCCTCACATGACGTCTTTCACCCTGGGATTCAGACCCAAAACACACCCAGGAACTTTCCTTCTGTCTTCTGTGATAGAGTTATGTAAGCACCTCAAAAGACCTTACAACCTAGGACCTTCACACCCGATCACTGTCTTCTAAACTGCTCAGTTTTCACTTCCTGAGACAGACCCCCAAATGACTGAGGTGTCACAACCTAGACCCAAGATCTTACTGTGTTGCCCAGACTGGCTTCAAACTCCTAGGTTCAATGTTTGAGTGATCCTTGTGTGCCACCATGCCTGGCTACTTAAATGGTTCTGAAATACCTTGGACACAAAGTTCCAAATCACTCAGAGATACTCTAAAAATCGTCATTAAACATTCCAGAGACCTTGCTCCCTAGAATATAGTGCCTTGAACAATTCAGAGACAGATCTCAAGAGCTTAGAGATCTCAAGATCTTGTGGCCTGGATACAGACCCTGTTCAGAATTCATACCTTGGAGACAAATGTGTATATGCAGCTCAGAGACCTTCTGACAGACCCTGAACAGTTCACAGGACACCCTAAAGATAGACTATCAGAACTTTTGAGACCTTGTACTTTGTAACCCACATGATTACAAAACCCAAAAAAGCTCAGATACTTCACAATTGGGAATAGAGATCTACTAATTTCTCAGAGAACTCACAAACCAGGACAAAGATGGTGAAACAGTTCAGAGATATCACACCCTCTCCTCAGACAACCAGAGACCTAATATCCCGAATGTGACCATAGAGCACTCTGAAATCACATATACTACTGGCCCTATACCAATCCAGATACCTTATAACCCTGGATACACTCCGATTCTGAGACGTCAACTGCTAGACACAATTTTTAAAAAATGCTCACAAGTGTTAGACACTGAGACATCACCAACAGCTTGGAGACCTCACACTCTGATTTATAGATAAGATCAGAGACTTGAAGATCTGGATACAAACCCTCTACATAGCTTAGACTCCTCACATTCTGTGATGCAGCCCCCAAATAACTCTGAGGTCACATAGCCTGGGCACAGTTTCCAAACAGCTTAGAAACTTCATATCCTTGGCTCAGATGTGCAACAGATCAGAATCTTCCCCACTTTTTTGGGAGTATTAGAGCTGGAACCCAGGGCTTTGCACATGTTAGGCAAGCATTCCATCACTGAGCTACATCCCCAGCCTCCCTTTTTAATTGATTTTGAGACAGGGACTCACCAAGTTGCCCAGGCAGACCTCAAAGATGCAATTCTCCTTCCCCAGCTTCCCAAGTAGCTGGGATTACAGGTGTGTACCATTGTGCCTGGCTCTACTCTTAACCCAGACCTCCAAATGATTCCAAAATATCACACTCTGGACTCAGCTCCACACCATTCATGGAATTTGCACTTTGTACTCTATCCAGAAAGATTTCAGATCCCTGACAGCTACAAGGAAACATCACATTCTATGTAAAGATAGCCACAAATAGCAGAGATCTCATAAATGGGACACAGACCTCAAACAGCTTAATGATCTCAAATCATAGACATATACTCCCAACCGGTTCAGAGAACTTCTAACCTGGAAGACTGATGTGAAAACATTTCAGAGGTATCACATCCAAACTACTTATGCCCACATGGTGACTCACATGATAGGACACTAACTCCCAACCTGAAGACTACACCTTCACACAGCAGATATACAATGCCAAAATGCTCAGGTTGACAAACTTTACAGACCCCAGGACACACATACCCCCAAACACACAAGAGACACCAGAAACTGGTAATATAATCTCAAACTGCTCAGAGACCTCAAAGTCTAGAAACAGACACCTAGTAAGTCAGAGACCTCATAGCCTGCGACCAAGACATCCCCAACAGGAAGGACTTCACACTTGGAAAGAAGTAGTTGAAGAACCTAAGGAGTACAGAGATCCAAGATCTTACACTTTGGGACATGAAGGGTAAAGCACCTGAGAGGCTTGAGACAGTAAAATGATATCAGTAGAAAGACAAACTTCAAGAACAGATCCTGAAACTGTTCAGAAACAACACTAGGATAAAACCCAGAGCATCGTAGAGGATTATTCATTGGGATGTGGTTTCAAAACAGTTCAGAACTGGGCATGGTGGCACACATCTGTAATCCCAGTGACTCAGGAGGCTAAGGTAGGAGGATCACAAGTTCAAAGTCAGCCTCAGCAACTTTGGAGACCAACAGCTTGGAGACCTCACACTCTGATTCATAGAAGAGATTAGAGACTTGAAAATCTGGATATAAAACCTCTACAAAGCTTAGGCCCTAAGCAACCCAGCGAGACCCTGTCACAAAAGTTAAAAAATAAAAATTAAAAAGGCTTGGGATGTGGCTCTGTGCGTAAGTGTCCCTGGTACAAAAAAAAAAAAAAAAACGTTTAGAGGGGTAATATCCCGGGCTCAGACATCCAAACACATCACAGTCTTCATATGAGGGTCACAG